TATATCGTAGATATTATTGTCGTGCTATTAAAATACAACGCTATACAAAATCTTCGAGTTCTTTCTACAAATAAATATGTCCATCGAGAATCGTGATAAAAATTAATCACGATGGAATATATAGCAAACGTGCCAATTGTCAAAAAATACGAACAGATGTTCCCACTTTAGATAATCCTAGCCTTTTACATTAATCTAATCAGCATCACTAAATAAAGAATACATTTAATAATCAATATATACCGCATGTTGCATAAATGAAATCTATGTTATCACGATAAGTGAAATATCAGTGATTTATCGTCACTGGGCAAAAAGTGTCTATTGGTTTGTCAACTGGGTAAAGCATTTTAAATCTTAAATAATTGCATCGGAAAAAAATTAATGTATAATGATACGATATTTTCGTATTTTATGCAAAGATATGATTCAATGCAATTTATAATTGTAGCTTGCAATTATATGATTGCAATTTAATATTATATGTTTTAATACGTTTTTATTAATATTAAACTATAAATGTATATTAAATGTATATCAATATATATCATCATGCAGACGCAACGGGGATACTTTTACAAGTTGCATTTATGTATTAAATTGCGATTACAATTGTCAAGATAAAAAAATAAATAAACATTGTGATTATATTTGAAATTCGGGAATCTCTCGAATGCCTGATTCGTTTCGGAATTGAATAATATTGTAATATTTTGCCATCCATAAGAATCACGTGCGTTTGGCCTGGCCACAGGCCGCGGTAGCGAAGTAGCTGCGCAATTTTGTAAAATACCGTAACCGTAATTACTGTTATTGCAGGATATTTAATACACGGGGCACGTTTTTACTCGCGGTCCAACCCCTCTGATCAATCCTCGCGGCCGCGAGCAGAGCAATAGAACCACGGTATAAGCACTCTCGTAGCCGCCGGCTACGAAGGACGAAACACGCCCGAGGTACTTTCGGCTTTATAAATAATAAATTCGCGTAGGAAACGGCGAAAAAAAAATTGACGACCGGAAAGGAGATGAGGGGGAGATGAAATTGAGCGTGTGAAAGGGAGAAGGGAAAGTAAAAATGTGCGATGAAGAAAGATCTGACGGCCAATATGTTTACCGTAATTTTAGCATAAACAACATCTTTTACGAGTTAAAAAAGCGCGTTTCAATAATTTTTATAAGAAAATATAAGCAATTCAATCTTTTTAATACAATTCTTTGTAAAAGAATAAAGAGAAAATATAAACGATAATTTATTTCCGAAACGAATTAAACGATTCTCGAGCATAAACCATGTGTTATAATTTTTAATTAATTGTTACGACACACGCAGAAATTCTAACTGATGCTACGCTCTGACGCTGCAGAGATAGCATAGTTACGAAATACATCGATACTTGAATGTGATGGAAAATTTTACATTATTTAATTTGTATCTATAACGTTTTTGTATTGAAAGCCGAAAAAATGAATGTATTTCGTTTTCTGCGCCGTAACGAGGTAGTATACACGAGCACGTGAAATGAATTTACTCACTAATCGTACACAGTCTCTGCCACCATCTGCCATCTAGCGGTGTCCACTGCGACTGTCCTGCTCCGAAACCCTGAAGAGGAAGACTTCACACGATCGGTACGACTGTCGGTATAATGCAATAATACTCGCGGCCACGCACACGAAATGACACGATGATCGTCCGGCATTTTACTCGGCACTCCCCGGTATCCGGCTAGTTTTATTCATTTGAGCGAAATCACTTCACGTAGATTAGGAATTATCACGACGCGGCGCGAAACGAACACCGAATGCGCATACACACTCGTTCAACGGTCAACGGAAAATTCTCGAAGCGAGTTTAACGCAACGATACCGTCGAGACGCGGCTACAATCGCGGAATCAATATGAAACGATGATCGAGCGACACTAATTCGACACTCCCGACACTCATTCATACTCGAGATCCATTTCCGACGATGTAAAAAAACGGGAAAATCGCGGAGCCCGTGCGATGCGACGATATCGAGACGTGGCGTGAGACAAACGTGCCATCTGCGCGTGCGCAATACATTTCTCGGACTTGAAATTCTTTCGCGCCGACACAACGAATATTCGCGACGCCATTCACGATGACACGAGGGTTACAATCGCCGAATCAACATGACACAATGATCGGGCGACATTAATTCGACACTCCCGACACTCATTCATACTCGAGATCCATTTCCGACGATGTGAAAAGCGGAAAAATCGCGGAGCAAGTGCGATGCGACGATATCGTCGAGAGCGACGCGAAACAAACATGGCGTCTGCACATGCGCAATACATTTCTCGGGGTCTTGAGATTTGTTCGCACGGACACGACGGGTATTCGCGACGCTATTCATGATAACACGCGGCTACAATCGCCGAATCAACATGACACGATGATCGAGCGACATTAATTCGACACTCCCAATACTTGTTCGGACTCAAGATCCACTTCCGACAATATGACAAACGAGAAAATCGTGAAGCGAGTGCGATGCGACATCATCGCGATATGGCGCGAAACAGACATGGCGTCTATGCGTTAAATTTGAATTATAAAGAATATAATTAATACTTTCTATTTATTCTTCATTAACAATATTATTATATTAATTAATTTACTATAAAATATTCTCTTTTACATATACACGCGTTATTACACATTTGATGCGCTTTTAATAAATTAAATCGCAAAAATATGCATAGCTTCGCAATTGGTGAGCAATTTACTGAAATCGACTTTATCGATGTAAGATATCGGCGGTTTTTCTTGAAAATTCTACAATATCGATATTTGATAATAAATTTAACTCTGGTGATAAAATTGCGTGACATTGAAAGAGAGAGAAAGAGAACGCGCGCACAGTATACAACTACAATCAAAATACTTTATTCACAATCAGTTTTATTGTTTGTTCCGCGAATGGTCTTCAAGTGCACGCGCGAGCAATCTTAAATATTTGTAGAAATAAAATCATATCGAAATTTGCATTGAAATTCGTTCAATCTAACTTTAACATTGCCAGCAAATGTTTACATATCCGTTCGTCATTAATGCGTATATTGAGTAACTAAAAGGATCATTGCAAACGAGTGAGTAATGTTATTGTTTCATAGAACACTTGTGCTGATATTCCCAAGTACATATATATATATGAGTTTATAGAGATATATATACATTTATAATATTCAGATTAAATAATACTCAACATTAAAAATAAAATTTTTCCGAACTTAAATATATATTTTTATTTTCTCATAGAAAGGGACGTAGTACTATTGTCAAATAGTACTATTGTTAATAACCTATGAAATTTCAGTGTATCTTTCTATGTTATATTCATATGTATATGACTATCTAATATTTCTTTGCTTCGAAATTTTAGATAAAGTAAAAAGTGTAAAATCAGATTTCTCTTTGTATTTGTTAAGCCTTTAGATACAATAATGGGTAATGCGGGAAGCAACCAGCCTGTCAGCCAGCATCATGGAAATGTAACAAGCAGAGAGCATCGACGTAACAAAGATCATCCTCCACCCTCTCCAGGAAAAGAAGGCCAAGCATTTGTGTTTGAGAAAAAACCCAGTCTTCTCTTTCACTCTTCCCAAGAAGAAGAAGAGCCATATTTTTCAAAAGTAACATGAAGAAATATTAAATTAATATATATATATATA